CCCTTAACATCACCATCATCATCATCATCGTCGTTACTCACATCATCGTCATAACTGAGCATGATCCTGCAGACGGCCTCATCGGCGTGGTTGTCCTCCTGGTAATGAATGTCCAGCAGCATCTCCACGTTCTGCTCTCTGCAGTGCTACGTGCCAGCAGTCAGTAGGTGAATGAAGGAATGAATGAAAATGTGTGTGAATGAATGACTGAGTGAATGAGTGAGTGAGTGAGTGAGTGAGTGAGTGAGTGAGTGAGTGAGTGAGTGAGTGAGTGGGTGGGTGGGTGGGTGGGCGAGTGAATAAATGAGTGAAAGATAAGCTATAGCATTTTATCGTCAATGAATGAACGCATGAACAAGAAAAAGAATGGAAAAATAAATGAATGGATAGATGGATGAATAAAAAAATAAACAAATAAATGAATAAAATGAATGAACGAGTGAATGAGAGAGTAAACAAAAAAACTTAACAAGAAACAAACTTGTAGGTAGAGTTGAAACGCAACAGGAAATAATCTTATGGACCTCAAAAATTCCCCATGAGCCAACTTATCCTTCCATTGAAAGACAACTAAAAATACTGATGGTAATGGTATGTAGGTAGGTAGCATACTAGGATGCATTCGTATAATAATTGTATACATACAATAAAAATAGTCCAGCCATCCAGCCAACAAATCAGTCAATCAACCTAATTAACCAACCAGTCAGCCAATCAATCAATCCAATTAGCCAATCAATCAATCAATCAATCGGCCAACTAACTGAGATCAGTATCGCCGCTCTTGATGGCAGCATTCAGTGCATCAGCTTCCCTGTTCAACTTCAATAGCAACGGTACTTGTTCGCAGACTCTCACTTCTCTGCTGATCAGCTGATTATTAATTAATTAATTAATTAATTCACTCATTTATCGATTTATTGATTGATTAATTAATTAATTCATTCATTCATTTATGTATTCATTCACATATAACAACAACAACACAAGCAACAATATAAACAACAACGTAAACAAAAATTATATAAATGGCAACAACAACAAATCAACAACAACAACAGATCAACAACAACAACCTTAAGAGCAAGATCAATTCTGTTATGTGCAATAGCCTTATCAATGATATCTCTATACGAAATCGGTTGTTGCTGTTGATGTTGTTGCTGGTGTTGCAGCAGTTGATGTTGTTGTTGTCGTTGTTGTTGTTGTCGTTGTTGTTGTTGTTGTTGTCTATTTTCAAACTTCTGCGCTATTGTTTCTGCTAGCTGGTCGTCATCAACATCCAGTCGCTGGATCTAGAGCAGAGGTAAGGATATATAATAATAATAATAATAATAATAATAATAATAATAATAATAATAATAATAATAATAATAATAATAATGATAATAATAATAATAATAATAATAATAACAATAATAATAATAATAATAATAATAATAATAATAATAATAGGAATGATGATAATAATGAAGATGATATTGACGAAAAAATCGGCGGATGACCATGCAGATCTTGACTTGACGATGGTGAGGATGATTTGTGATGCATGAATGATAAAAAAAAATGATGATGATATGTGATAACGTAAGATGATGTACAATGATGAAGATATACGATAAAGATACTAAAGAATGATGAAAACGAGTGAGTAAGTGTTTCACAGAAACAAACCCCGTAACGTCAATACCACCAACCTTATCGCATGCCCAAACAGACAGCACAAGGTGGGTGCCATTCTTGTCATTCAACTTTATGTATCTACTCATTTCATAGGCAACCCAGTACAACTTCCTCAACAGTAACCTCTTTATTACGTTTTCCATTGTTAGCTGGTTTAATCTGGCGATCAAAACGGTGGTAGTGAGAATGATGATGATGACGATGATGATGACGATGATGATGACGACGATGATGAGGATTAGGAGGAGAAAAATGACAACGATGAGAATGAAGATAGTGATGAAGATGGCGATAAAGATGGCTATGAATTTTATGAAGATGAAGAAGATGATTTCAAACTTAGAAATTTCATTTTATAGTTATTGTCCTTTATTTATAGTCAACAAATAATTTGTCTCAAGGTATCGTGAATCAAGCAATCCCAATCATCAACCAACCAACCAACCAGTCAACCAACTTACCAACCAGCCAACTAACCAGACAATCAGCCAAACAATTAACCAACCAGCAAACAAACCCACCACCACCCCCACCACCAGCAGCTTTACTTACTGAAGCAGCGTCAATGGAATGCCGACATCTTTGGATTTCAACTCGTTGAGAACTCTCAACATTCTACACATCTGTATAAACGGCTTGCTGTCGTAATCTTTCAAGAAACATTTGCCGAATGATGATGCCTTGGTAAGAAAATATCAATTAAGATTCAAATTATTCGTCAAAATTGACATTATTCAAGCAATCAAATAATTACGACTTTACCAACCAATCAACCAACAAACCCACCAATCAATCAATCAATCAATCAATCAATCAATCAATCAATCAATCAATCAATCAATCAATCAATCAATCAATCAATCAATCAATCAATCAATCAATCAATCAATCAATCAATCAATCAATCAATCAATCAATCAATCAATCAATCAATCAATCAATCAATCAATCAATCAATCAATCAATCAATCAATCAATCAATCAACCCACCAACCAACCAACTAATTAACCAACCAATCAACCAATCAACCAACCTACCTTCAACAAAGCTTTCTGATTCTTGACATCAAATTCATAACCACTAGCAACGAGGCAGCCTTGTACAGCGTGCAACAAATCATTCCCTATCAACTTCAAATATTCATGCGCCTCCTTCTTACCTTCCTACGCAAATAATAATAATAAAATTTTAATAAAATAATAATTAATTATAAAATAATAATATAATAAAATAATAGCACGTACGATGAAGAACTTGGCAGATTCGAACAGGACCGCACTTGGCTCTACTGACCCTATCTTGAATACGTCTTCTAACTCTTCTGTAGATGTTTTGAATCATTGTTCATTCATTCATTCGTTCGTTCGTTCGTTTGTTCGTTCGTTCATTCATTTATTCAAAATCAGTAAAACAAATAACCAGTGAATAGGAATTAAAGACAAAAACAGTTCACAAATTATTCAGCCAATGAGAATCGAGAATAAATATAATTTCAAAATTGTTAAGTCAATAAGGAGAAAAAAAAACAGACGTAATTAAAAATTTATTTAGCCAATCAAAACTCACTCGGAACTTTTTGAATAAATTCATGCGAATACACACTCAACACTCTCACTCCATCTCTCTCCTGGATCAAGTGCACAGGTGAGTCATAATCATACCTGTATTAATTAAATAATTAATTAAACTATGATTAATAATAATTAGTAATAATTTAATTACTACATCACATACATCATCGTCGTCATCATTCTCATCGTCATCATCTTCACAATCACCACCATTTATGCCGTCGTTGTCGTCATCATCATCATCATCAACGTCATCATCATCGTCGTCATCATCATCACCATCATTAATAAACCTGACGTCATCCATATTCGGACCGACTAGCAAGAGGAACATTGGTCTGTTCATCAAGACAGCTCCAGTCCCACACCTGATCATGGTAGTGATCGTGTAATGGTCAGGATAATGATGATGGTGAAGATGATTGTGATGATGATGACGATGATGATGATGATGATTATCGCGATGAAAAAAATGATGATATTGTTTAGTATGATCCTGATATGATTGATTATGACGATGGCGATAATGTTACGCTGATGACAAATTACAATGAGTTGGAGAAAAAATGACGATGACGTCAACAATGATAAAAAAAAACAAATAAAAATGAATAACTGAATGAATGAATGAACGGACGAACGAACGAATGAATTACGCGATGGGCTAATAAATAAATGAATGAACCAATAAATTAATTAATTAACCAATCAATTAACTAATTATAATTAATTAATTAATATTAAGTAAAATATAGAAAAATCAAACCAAGCCAGTTGTTTAGGCCTAGAATAATTATCAGTGGCATATTTACAGTAGGTATTCTGCGTTTTGAAAGAATGAAAATTATTTATACATACATACATGCATGCATGCCTGCATGCATACATACATACATACATACATAAATGCATACATGCATGCAAGCACACATACATACATAAATACATACATACATACATCAACATCATCATTTTAATGTTTAATTAAATTTGCCTTGCTCTAACTTTACGCAACAATTCAATAGTCATTCTTCATCACCGTCATCATCTTTCTTATCATAACTATCACTCACTATCATCGTTAACATCGTCCTCATTTTTATCATCAACTATACTATCATGATATTAGTCGTCATCAGTCTTATCAGTACCACCACCATCTTCATCACTATCGCTATAAATGTTATTGCCTTTGTCACGTCAAAGATATATAAAGATAGTTATCTTTAATGCTACATTTTAAATTAATGATATAACCAGGGATAGTCGGTAAAGTTAAAACGAAAGCGAAGAATATAATTTTTTAAAAAAATATTAAATAAATGAAAAATTAAATAAATTCACTTTCAAATCAGACGATCCGATCCATAGAGTACCGGAACTGAGAAACATCGCTAAGTATTTGTTGTCCCAGGACAAGCACATCTCCAAGATGGCCGCCGGATGTAACGAGCTGTCGATTTGCTATTGTTGAGATTAGAATGGATTAATCATCATCACAACCATCGTCATCAGCATCAGCATCATCATCATTCTCATCATCATTACCATCATCGTCATCATCATCGTCATTATTATCGTCATAATTATCGACATCGTCACCATCACCATTATCGACATCGTCATCTTAACCATCATTATCATAAGTTGACCTGTTTCTCGCAAGAACCAGTCATATCCAAGAGATATAGGTCAGAATTTCTGGCAATGAGAATTTGGGGCGTCAGGGCGCGATTCAGAATGCACCACGATGATGGTGGGAGATCGCATCCTTGCAGATGATGATGGTTGAATATGATGATGATGTGATGATGAATATGATGATGATGATGAATATGTTGATGATGATGATGAATATGATGATGATGATATATATGATGATGAATATGATGATGACGTAGGTAGAGGAACCTGGAAAATCTGGCAGCTGCCTGACTCTGGCGTCGTAAATATTAGTGACCATGTAGAATCGGAAAGATGCCGTTAGAACAACTACACCTACATTTTTATTATCATCGTCGTCGTCGTCGTCATCATCATCATTATGATCATCATTAATATTATTATTATTATTATTATTATTATTATTATTATTATCATCATCATCATCATCATTATTGTTATTATTATGATTAAACGACGCATCGAAAATAATTATGAAAAAAAAAGAAGAATGTATCTATCACCGATAGATGATGAAGCAGTGATGAATATCTGGGCATCTGTGACCTTCACATTGCTTGCATCCTACCATCATCATGATAATGATTGTGAAAATAATAATAACAATAATAATAACATGAATAAAAACAATAATAATAACAATAATAATAATAAACACTTCAGGAATCCGGTGGACTCTCTGTAGATGCAAGCAAAAGTGGCTTAGGAAAATAACAATAACAATAATAATAATAAGCTAGATAGTAGGCAGTTATGATAATTTAATATTGGTAATTACGGTAATTATAATGATAAGTATAATAATTACAATAGTACTTATATATAATTATAAGTTTAATAATATAATAATGGTAGCCCGTATAATAATAATAATTACAATTACAAGAGCAGTTGTAATAATGAATGAAATAATATTCAATAAATGATCAGTCACCTTTCCCATTGTGAAATTCCTCACAAAGTTACCAAAGATATCGTATATTAGAACATTTCCGTCGTCTTGAATGCATAAGAGTTCCTCTTTTAACGACCAACCCACCTTTAAAAGACTTCCACTGTTCCACTAAATAATCATAGAACATTAAAAAAAATGGTTGCTAGTCTTTATCATATAAATATTTCTTTCAACTATTAATTCATTAATTTATACATTCATTCATTTATTCATTCATTTTATCATTCATTTATTTATTCATTCATTTTCTCATTCATACATACATACATACAATCTTTCATTCATTCATTCTCTCATTCATTCATTCAATCAATCATTCAATCAATCATTCATTGACTCGTTTATAGGATAGTGGATGGATAGTCTAAAAAATGTTCAAAGGAATTTTTGGAAAACACATGCAACAGCACTGACTCTAATTAGTCCTAATTCCTTGCCAGAAGATGACAAAATGAAAATGATTGGCTTGTTGTTAGCAGTAGATGGTTTCAATAACAGGGCTATTAGAAAAGTTTCAGAAAAAACTTGTTAATTTGGTAATGAATGATTAAATTTACTTTAAAGTTTAAATTTAAGGTACATTTCATTTTGTATATTTCCTATTTTATTTCAAATGAAAAACATACAAAGATTTTCTGTTGAAAAAGAATTTTAATTTTCTAATTAATGAATAAACCAATGAATGAACAACCAATGGGCCCTCCAAATGTAGCAGCAGACACTTCAAACTTGCTGAAATCAACAACATCAGGCCATTGCATTAAATACAGTTCTGTCTTTCTGTCATCAACAACAATATCAATTAGTATTAGATAGATAGAATTCAAATTAGTAATTGAATCTTAATGAGATTTGAACAGACACTTCAAACTTGCTGAAATCAACAACATCAGGCCATTGCATTAAATACAGTTCTGTCTTTCTGTCATCAACAACAATATCAATTAGTATTAGATAGATAGAATTCAAATTAGTAATTGAATCTTAATGAGATTTGAACACAATCACAAAACAGTTTCAGAAAGAAACAGCTGGTAATTAATTCAAAAAAATAATATAATTTAAAATTTATTTAAAATTAAATATTTTTAATATAAAATAAACAGATTTTCAATTCAAAAAATTCTACTTGGCTAAAAAACCAACATGAAAAATAATGTATAAATTGAAAAAGTGAAAAATAAAATGCTCAGATGATCATGGTCTCAGTCAGTGTCAGCAGATCATATGATATTTCTTCCAGGATTTTAAAGAGGGGTTCTAGGAAAAAAGAATGAAAAAACACCCAAAAAATTGCATTGAAAAACATTAAATAAACCTGTAAAATACATTTCCAAGCAAACTCCACTCAGCAGTTAGCGCCATTTTGATTCTTTTTTTACAATTTTTTTTCTTTCTAACTGAAAATCTTAAGACCAAGGTTTAAGAACTCTAAAATTTAAATCTCTTCATAATGTAAACAAATTAAAAGTTAATTCGATAAAAACTTTATAAGTAAATTTTTTTTATTTTGGTGAATAAACATTTAAAAACTAACAATTATTATATAAAACTTAAAAATTTATTAAATAATTATTTAAAAATTACAATTTTTTAATTTAATAAATTAAAATAAGGTTTTAAAGAAATAATGTAGCAAGTTAGTTCTTTCCTCACCTACCTTGATTTGATGACATTTTAAAAGTAAATTTTTTGAAATGAGGAACAAAACTTGTGAGAAAAAAAAAAGCTTGGATTTGTGTAAATATTAAAAACTGAAATTTGAATAAATCTGAATTCGTCAAAATAATGAAAACAAATCTTATTAAATTAATACTTCTCACGTCATGTTCGATAGTCATTTTGTACAGTTTTGCCATTTTCATTTTAAGTTCTTCACTAATTTTCGTAAAATATGAGCAGTCTGACAGTGACATTGCCGACCTATTGGCAACTGTAAACGGTTTTGAAAATGATTTAGAACGCATAAAAATGGAAATGAAAGTCAGCATAGATGACGTGGATGAAGCCGTCCGAAGATTTGAACATCCACAGAGAGAAAATCAAAATTTTTGGAAGATCAAACCCCTGATGCACAATCCCTATTTATGTTCAAAAGTTCCAAATAGACAGATGGATGACAAATCTACAAAAGAAAATGATGGATGGATGGAATTGCCTGAGGAGGTTGAAGTGGATCACAGCATTAATTGGATCATGTACGTCCACTCATCTGTTAAAAATACCGAGCTAAGGCAGATTATCAGAAAAACTTGGGGCCAGCCTGATCTGTTTAAAAATTACAAATCAAAAATTATTTTTGCTGTTGGTCGGCCACAAAATGCCCATTGGCAGAGAAAGTTGAATCTTGAATTTGAGATATTCAAAGATATTTTACAAGGGGACTTTATGGATACGTATAAGAATTTAACCTATAAAGCTGTTTTCACATTAAAGTTTGTTTTAGTTATTAATAGTTTTTGTTTTATAATTTTTCGCATTAATTTAAAACTTACATAAATTTACAAAAAAATTTTTAATTATTTTCAACTTATTAAAACTCTTGAATGTTCATACTAATTCTTAAAACACTACACAATCTAGGTGGGTATCACTCTACTGCAAACACGTCCCCATTGTAATGAAAGCAGACGACGATTCATTCTTGAACATCTTCCAACTGAAGCATTACCTTATATACAATTTATCGAGAAGCAACGATGACAACCAGGGGTTCAGTGATGGAAAATCAACAACGACTGCAAAGATAAATTATAATGGTGATGATAATTTAAAAATTCTCTGCCCTGTCTATGGTGATAATGTCATGCCCATTTTAAGGTGAGGGTGTTGGTCGAGGTTTTAAAATTGATGTGTGATGAAGGAAAAGATGATGATGATGATTTCGTTTGTAATAGTGGTAAGAGAAATGATGATGGTGATGATAATGATGATAATGCTGATGAGGACGATGAGGATGATGATGACAGAAAAAATGATTTGGTGAGGAGGAAATAGCAATATTTGTTGCTGGTCAAATAATAACAATATTGACGATGAATAAAATGATGAAATGTATGCAATGGAGAAGTTTTATTATCAATTATTCATTAAATATTAAACTTTAATCTGAGTTATTTTTTTGGACAGCTAGCAAAAGCTAACTGATCAATGACTATTAATTACTCTTTACTCAATGAACAATTTTGCTAGTCTACAGTTGAAAGATAAGAAAAATTACCACAAATTTATCAGTAATTTATCCATGATTCAACTTTTTTTAAATAATAATAAATAATAAAATCAGTAAAATAAAATAAAGAAAGTGACAAAAAATAAATTGAAAAAAAAACTGAAAATAAAGAGACAAAAAGACGTGCATGAAGTGGTGTGTGGACAAACACGACCTCCCCGGCAGAACTGGTTTTCCTACTTACTGTAGTGGGATAGCCTACTTCTTCACTCAAGAACTCGTTCAGAAGATGGTCCAACACATCCAAGTTATTATTTTGTGTTTTTTTAATCTATTTCTATGTTTTTTATTTTAAAGTTCTCTTAATTTTTAATCTATTTGGTGAATTTTTACATAAAGTAAACTTAAGTATGGTAGGAAATTTTTGATATATTCAACTCAAGTACATGTTCTGATGAATGAGTAAAAATAAAGATAGCGCCCTGAAATGAATTGAATTCAGATTGACCTAATTTGAGAAGTTTACCTTGCATACAACAACAGCTAATATAGCTGAGATAAATAAACAATTAAAACCATTAAAATAAATAAAACATTTTATAGTGAGAATGCTTGTACAGCTCTTATCAACTATCGACAGTAATTTACTGATGTTACTAACTGTAATGCTATTAACTTAACTGTTAACTTTGATGTAAAGACTTTAATGTTATAACATTATAAATAAACTAAGTGATTATGTCTGTTTTATTTCTAAATAAATCTAAATAAAATAAAGCCAAAGTCTAATCCACTGCCAGCAGATGCTTCAGTTGATTACACTTTTCTATTTTTAATGCTGATTACAAAGAATTTTTGTTCATGTGTAAAAATATGAATGAATGAATGAATGAACGAATGAATGAACGAACGAATGAATGAATGAATGAATGAATGAATGAATGAATGAATGAATGAATGAAAAGTGTTTGTTGATGTTAAAGTTGTAAAAACAAAATTTAAGAAATTGTTGTATTAGTTTGAAAAGCATAATAAAATGAACCATAGCATTAATGTAAGACATCAACATAAATTTAGATAAATGCATTAGCTTTAAATTTTTATCTACTGTTTTTTTTTAAGTACAGGATTCTTTTTCACATATTTAATGAAGTTCAGTTGTTTAAGAAAAAATTTTTTTTCCTGTTTCTATTTTACATGTTTGCACATGATTTTGAGTAGTTTGAAATGGTAATTCTATCAGATCATTAACATAGCAAAGTTTTACTCATGCACCTAATTAATCAAACAGGTGTACGTACAACACACACCACACACACACACACACACACACACACACACACACACATACAACATACATACATACAAAAATTACAACATGCATACATCTATATACACATACATACATACATACATCTTTAAGCATGCAACTACACCTTACATGTATTCCATTACAAGCATTTAACCATCCTTCAATTAACAGACCACGCCATATTTCTGGATAGATGATGTCTACATAACAGGACTGCTGCCAATGAAGATCCCAAACGTCAAGTACCTTAGCATTTCAGATGAAACCATTTTAGATAACAAACAGGCTTTTAGCGAGTACAGAAATAACACGCTTCCAATCAGGTGATTGCTATTTTCGTTTTTGTGGCCACTTTTTATTATCACTATAACGATATTAATAAATAATAACATACAGGTTACGTATGATTTTTCTGCCTAATTCTATGAACTATCTCTCAAACTTGTTCAAAATAGTGCTGATAAATCATCAACATAAGCTCATACATAATCTACTCATTCATCTACATTATTTTAAAATTTAATTCACGTTTAAATTTATTTTTTACCTATTTGATGGACATTCACGGTAAAAATCTTAGACCATATTTCTTTCATCTTTCCTAAATAGGTACAACGTAGTGCACCTTGGTGATACAAAGGCTTTTGCAATCCTTTGGAATATCTTGCTGAAGAGATTAACAATTGCAGATCTTAATTCTCTAACAAAATCCAGAGATGATTTAAAAGTTCAGGCATTTTCATTGTGATAAGTAGTAGTGCTAGTAGTATTTTCTGTATTTTTTTGTTGTTGCTGTCTTGTTTTTGTTTCGTTTTCCAGTTTTTTGTATAATTTTGTTGTGTCTGTTTTTTATACATGATTTTTTTCTTTTTTTGAACTGGTTGATATAATTATTATTTTATGTGTAATAGTAGTAGCAGCAGTAGTAGTAGCAGCAGTAGTAGTAGTATTATTGGTAGTAGTAATATTAGTAGTAGTAATAAAAATAATAGTAGTAATAATTTTATTTTTACACACGCACAGGTATATATATATATATACATATATATATATACATATATATATATATATATATATATATATATTATTTATATATTATTATTCATTTCAATTATTCATTCATTCATTTATTAATCATAATCTAAAATTAAATATTTTTTCATTAATAATATGTAAATTTATTTTAAATCATTTTCATTTCATTCTTCCATTCCTGCAACTACTCGGCTAATATTAAATCTTACTTCAATCAAAAACATTATCTTATTGTATATGCTAGCTAAGCTATGTTTTTTTGTTCCATGAATGTTCATTTGCCTCCGTTGATAAAAGGTCCCAATGTATTTGATATTTGATTATTTATTATCGTCTGTTTATATGTCTTTGTTTATAATTCCTACAAGGGTTTTTTATACATACGGTTTAGAAATGCGACGGTTCCGGATTCGGATTCGGTACAAATCTTGAGATTTGGTAAGATTTGGATTTGTCGAATCCTACGGATAAAGCCGGATCCATGATTATCGAATGAAGTTGAGTTATAAAAATAATTTAATTGAATATGAACAAACTTTAAATTTGAAATCTTATGGGCGTGTTTGAATCGCGTATTGACCTTGTTCAACAAACGTTTGTAACTGCAGCGCAATTAAACGTCTCTACTTTCTAATTACGTGATGAAGTGGTGTGGGTTGAATTATAAAGCGCTAATCTGTTAATTGTTCTTAGCGTTCTAATTTAGAATAGAACTTGGTTTGAATTATATTTAATTTTAAGCACCCATGCATCTTGGATTTGAATTAGTAGAGTTTGGATCCGTACGAATCGGTCACCTAGATTCTGATCCGGATATCGCAAATCTCGATTTCTTGAATTTGCCCCATTTCTAGTAATATTTTTAACGTTTGCATATATTTTTGTCTGTAAATCTTTTATTTATTTATTTGTTTATTTATCTTTTTTCATAGAGTATAAAGTATAAATATATCGCATGTGTGTAATGTTTCTTCAAATCAACGCAATCAAACGTATTTTTAACAAATTTTAACTTTGAAAAGTGTGAATGTAAGTTGAGTGTTGTATGTGTGTGTTAGTTTTTGTTCGTTCGTTTGTAAGTGTGGTTGTACATTTTGTTTGTCCAATGATTTCAAGATTAAATGCCTTTTTTTATGTATTTATCTAAACCTTATCATTTCGCCTTTTTTTAATTAATTTTACGTTTCCAGAACATCTGTTAGATCATAATTTCAGACAATAAAAGTTTCAAAAAACCATTAAACATTATGACTAATCGTTGGTGGGCTCTACTAACTAATCGCTGGTGGGCTCTACTTATGCCATGGATTCCTGGAACAAAAGGAACACAAACACGTTATTGCGTCTATACAAAACCAGGGCAACTTTTATACATATAGCATCGTTCATGTAGGCCGCACATGTACTTCAATAGCAAATTTTTTCGACCCGGGGAGAATTCATTTTAATTTTTTTTAAACTATTATAGTCTTAATCACAATGCTAACCTTACTAAATTGACGTCATCGAACAAACGCCTTAGAAACTTTATGATTGGCTGGTTGAATCTGCTATATTGCTTTTTATATAAAGATATAATTTTATTAATTATTTGTATCCATGAATTCTAGTAACTTAATATATATATATATATATATATATATATATAATATAATATAAATTCAATATAGAGTGCTATATATGTACGCACGCAGTTCAAAATTTTCGGGGAGAATTCAAAATAGTTTGAGACCACACCTTACTTAACATTCAAATTCCAAACCAAGGCAAGCCAAGCTGAGCCAATATGTTTAAGTTTATAAGCGCTTTTATATAAAAAATTTGCTCGCTTTATATATACGAATTTCCCAATATAACAAATTCTCCATCCTATTTTAAAAATTTACTTTGATGCTTTTTAATCAGTCAGGTCACAAAACTCAGCATCGATAACGCGATGAAATTAAATTGAATTTTTTTAAAAATTGTTGATAAAAGTAACTAGTATGTAGTAAAAAGTTTGAATTTTTCTGAGAGAATTCAAAATAATTTGAGACTACACCATAACACAATTGTACAATTTGAATGTGTAAATACAACATTATAAATGTATTATAACTAAGTATATTACATGTCTATCTATCTATTTCTTTATTTAGTTCTGCCTGAGTATGATATTTGGTCAAATTTATTTGATAGGAATTGAATATAATCTTTATACCGGCTGAATAACTACCATGCAGTAAAATAACTACTGTTAACATGACGTCATTTTCTCCAACGATTTCGCAACGTATTACCCATCCTATTTAATAAAATTTAATCAAATTTTATTTGATATTTTTTAATTAGTCAGGTCACAATCATTATCATCAATATTGCAATAAAATCAAATTGACAAATTGAGAGTTTTTTAAATTTTTGAAAAAAGTATTTTTATTCATTTTATGATACTACTTTGTTCAATAAGATACCATGCAATTTGGCAAGCCAATAAACTAACAATCCAAGCAAGTCAAATAGCCCGACCTATTTTATCAACGTTCACTTTTTACTTGTAAACAAAATAAATGCAAATCCAGACGGTTTCTATAAATAAGAATGTATTTATTTTAACTGATTTCGATAATTGTGGTTGAACCGAATTTTTGTTTTTGTTTTAAAATGATATAAATAAGTTTAACATTTTTTATTGTTTGATTAGTTTAGCAGTTTTATTAACTAATCATCATAGAAGACCTGTCCTAAATATAATACTAATGCTAAACTAAATCAATCAATCTAATCTAATCCAATCTAATGTCTAATTAATTTAATTATATTAATTTATTATTAATTTTTAATTTAATAAATTTGGAACAAACTGCCAATTGATTTTTTCTAAAAACTACAATTGTCTTGCTTGAAAAATAAGAAAATAAAATAAAAAAGTGTACTTATTAAATATAAATTTAATTAAATTTAATTAATTTTTTATATTTGGATGGTAATTTTTGTTGCTTCCATTTGTTTAACAAATTTTTAACTTCTAACAAATATTTTAGAAGTGTATCCAACTCTAAGCTTAAGGAAAAATGTGCTCATGCATCTTTCCACCCCCAAATTACAGGTCCACTCCTGTTAATGCACTGCTTGCGGTCAGTCAATAATATTGCTTGTTTTTCCTTTAAAATTAAAATTATTTGTTAAAAATGTAATTTTATTTGTTTTATTTAATTTAAATTATTACTTGACAAACAAGTAAAATAAATAATTTTTAAATTTGTTAGAATGCTTTGGATCTCTCAGCACCTGCCAGTGATGCACTACTGACTCCGAGAAAGAATGCCTGGGTACAGTTGGCTGGACATGCTGGTTATTATCTTATTTTTTAATGATTTTCTAAAGTTTCCTGGTTCTTTATTAATCCCAATAAATAAATTAGTTACTTTAAAGCCTCAAATTGAAATAAAATTTTTTTATTATCCTATATTGCTATGATTATTTTAATCTTAAGCATATAATAATAAAAGTCTCTTGTTTTTAAAAAGTAAAAAATAAACTCTAGTACATTGGCTAATTGTTTATTCTAGTATTCTATATAAATATTATAGGTTGATAAATTAATGATGATTTATGAAGATTTGTTCATTTTATTTTGTTACCTTATACATTCAAGGATTCTTTGCCCCAGCCAGTCCTGTTACAATTTGGAAGCGTCAAACAGTGGAAAAGAACAATGAAACGAACGCTTACAAGAGCTTCCAAGAGGATGCTATCAAAAGCTTTGTTCCCAAGTTTTACAGAGAAGTTGTCTTCAATGGTGAATGTTAGTAATTGGGAAGGTACTGATATTTAAGTTCTTGTTATTAATTTTTAGAAATTATTTATTCAAGCTTGTCAAGCTGTTTATCTGTGTTGAAAATTGCATTCTGTTACAATGTTAATCACATAATTTATTTTCAAAAAATTTCATTTGATGACTCATAGCTAAATTTTAAATGATTAATCCAACACTTGATCATTCAATGTGGTATGATTTGTTTCTAAAATAATAATAATAATTGTTGTTGCAGTGTTTATAGAAATTGAAGACCTTCTGCAGAATTTCACTGACCCATCCATCATGGACATCAAGATGGGGACCAGGTAGTTTTAAAATTCACCGTATCCTTCAATTCATTTGTGTTTGGTTTTTGATCTAAATATGTTCTGATTGGAATGGTCAAACCCACACAAATACATGCATGCATTCTCATACAAATCAACACATACTTTCATTCATACATACATACATACAAATACAAATATTTGCTAAAGAACTTTGTTAAAGAAACTATATAAACCAAACCTGCACTGAAGATGATTTATGAAAAATCGAAATATGGCCTATCTGCTTGATGAATTTGGATAAAAACAGTTTCATTAGCAAACAGATACACGCTCATGCTTAAACTTGCATCTCTCTTATTTTCAGAACGTTTTTAGAATCTGAAGTGTCAAACACAAAGCTTCGAAATGACCTCTACTTGAACATGATGAAGATGGACCCCAACGAACCAACTGCACAAGAACACACGGACCAGGCTATCACTAAACTGAGATACATGCAGGTGAATATTTACACTGACGGTGAAGATTGAGATGGTGAGGAGATGATGCTGAGTACGAGGATGATGATGATGATTTTGTTAATGATGATGATGAGGATGATTACCAGAAAAGTTATTGGTCATGTTTACATATTTTTTTACTTTTTCAGTTCAGAGAGAATCAAAGTTCATCCAGCGGCCTAGGTTTCAGAATAGATGCTGTGAAGGTCATTCTGACTGACCTGATCATATACATCATCATTTATAATCATTTCACTTGTCATCATTATTGCATTTTTTACTTTAATTTATTTTTATTTGTAATTTTTTAATCACTATATTTTCATCACGTACATCATTTTTTTGATACTTGTTATGGAGGAAAAGTTTTCATTGTCATTGGTTTATCATTTTATATTTTAAGTTTTATCATTATTATCACCATGATAAACATTTCAATCATATTTGTTATCATAATGTAACTTGGGCGTTATAAATGCCTTGAAACATATTAGTGAGTTTTTTTTGGTCTTTCAATTGTAATTTTGTTATTTGATGTAAAATATTCTACCAGATGGCAGGCAAAGCGCCTCTGTTGGATTGGAAAAAGATCAAATCAGTTGAACAGGTGCATAATTATCATAATAATATTATATTTATTTTCATCATTTTATATTATTATCACTTGAAAAATGAAATTTAAATACGAAAATGTAATACAAATTAATAAGTATTAATCTCAAACAAGGTATCCATGGCGTTCTGCAAGTTCTTCAATTACAGACGTTTTACCTGTTTGTCTGTTCTGAGAAGGCTTAAAGATCTGAGGAAACATTTCGAAGCTTCTAAATTTTTCAAATCTCATGAGGTTAATTAATTTGTTAATTAATTGATTAATTAGTTTATTAATTAAACGTTTTCTAATAGATCATTAACACCGCTATCGTGTTCGGTAAGCAAATCACGGACAGCCGTAAAACTTTTGTGGGCAATTTTTTTTCCTTCTAAAACTGTTCATCAACTATTTGTTGCTGTTTTGTTTTTATAATCTACTTTTTAATTTTCAATTAGTTGTGTCTGTTCGGTGTATTTATTTATTAGCTAATGTACAGTGTCGTAGATGACATTTTGTGTCAATTCTTCTATTTTCTAATTCGCCAGCGATTTCATTTTCTTCCTCATCATCCTCTTCATCAACGTCGTCATCATTAATCATCTTTTTGTTATCACCTTCACTTTTTTCATCATCATCATCTTTGCAAATAAAAAGTCTCTAACATCTGTTTCATCACCTTCCTCATGCTCATCTCCATCTTTATCATCGTCATTCTCATCGTTACCATTTCATTATTATCACCCCCACTGACTACATCACCATCTCCTCCAGGTGATTGGCAGTTCTTTACTGATTCTCCACGACGCAACAGGTCGTACAGGTGTCTGGATGATTGACTTTGCCAAAACAACCCTCGCGCCAAACAACAAAAAACTGACTCACCGATCGGCCTGGGAGTTTGGTAATTTTGAAGATGGGTACCTTTTCGGTTTAGATAGCTTGATTCAGGTGGTTTTGTATTTTGCTTGGCTGGTGTTTTTGTGGTGGTTACGAGTCAGTATTGACGCTGATAGCGATGGTAATATTGATTACAATGATGATGTTGTCAGTGGTGATGATGATGATGATGATTATGATGATGATTATGATGATGATGAAAACATTAGTATTTGAATATTTTTCTCTAATGTATACAAACCCCTTTCCTAATTATGGTAAATGATTTGATGTTCACCATATGAAACAATTTAACATTTGTCGTACTGATTGTTATGAAATGTATTAAACCTACGCTGGTGATATATCATAATTTTTATTTACAGACGTTGGCGGACATAAGCGTTGAGTTAACCGTTCCCTCGTCGCCTGTCAGGAATGACTGCACACTGAATCACGTTTAATCTTCGATTAATTCCGATTAACTCGTTAATCGTTGGTTATTTTAGTGAAATTCGAGTTTTATTTCGTTTTATGAATTTTTATTAACTGTTTTTCCCAGTTTTTTTTAGTTTTATCATCTTTTTTTGTCAGTCTTCTAATCATAAATTTTATCAAAATACACCTTTTAATTAAATTATAAAATTGTTCAATACATACGTCAATATATATATATATATATATATATATATATATATATATATATATAAAACATACTTTGTATATTCATACATTATATGCGTACATTTTTGTTTATGTGTCTGTGTTATCGATTTGAACGTGATTATTTAGGTACGTGTTTATTCCCATTTTTATTGTTACAAATATTAAATTTTGTATGGTGGTACCGTGTTTAAAAATTTAACTAATTAAACAATTAACTTCTAGTTTCGTACATCTTGATTAATTAATTAATTAATTAATTGACGTTCGATTAAAAATGGCAAAATCATTCCATTGATATCTTATTAATATACATCGTAACAGTTTGTGGTTATACTTGTTCAATAATTATTTTACTTGACTTTGGCTTGCGGGCCATTATGCCTATATTCCTCTTAAATTTATAACCACTATCTTTCACTCTCTCATCTCTCTCTCTCTCTCTCTCTCTCTCTCTCTCTCTCTCTCTCTTTCTTTTTCTCTCGCTCTTCCCCGTTTGTTTTGTTTGAGAATTATTTTTTCCTTGATGCATTTACATTACGAGCATGATCATAATTTGTTATATTATGTCAGACCTGTGAGTTTTTACATATTTTTTTTTGTAAACCTTGAAAATATATAGAAAGTACTTAAAAGCCAGCCTGGTTATTTAAACTTTGCTTTGCACACGCCATGCTTCTTCCAATTGAAAAAGTCGTGCTTTGTCAGTCGGTCAATTATTTTTTAATTTATTTCCTGTTCATGTTCAACAGCGCTATTCCTCGGCAACGGAAAGGAAAGCATGGTTAAAGAAAATGACGTGAAAATTTATTCGATTTCTGGCCTTTAGGCTGTTAGTCGTAAGTGGGAGATTAAGTTCTGTGTTGACGTCCGATCATGTTTACAAGTGGCCTCGTTCCAATGCTGAAGATTCAACTTATCACATGCCTTGTAGGACTCACGGTTTATCAGGGTCTTCACGTGCCTACGTTGTGTGAGTGTGTGTGTGAGTGTGTGTGTGTGTGTGTGTCGTTGATACCCCTGCTCTGGATCAAACGCAGTAAGGGTAACAGTCTGCATAATGTTGGATGATACTGTTAGATGATCCTGTTAGATGTTAGATCCTGTTAGATGTAAAATTCGAGATTGAGAAAGGATAGAAGACATCGAAAAATATTTGTTGCATGAAATGAAAGGCCTTTAAATAAAAAGAAATTACTCAGCATGTGGGATGTCTTTTTGCGATTGTGAAAAAATTAACATAATGAGCTATTTTTTAAATTATGTAATGCAACCAGTATTTAACGCGAAACATGCACATTTGGTTTAGTTCCAAACACAGGATATATAGTTAATAAGTATAACGCATGGATATATATATATATATATCCATGGTATAACAATGTTAATACATGATGAATAAGAACTACACAAATACGCAGACAGACTGGAGAGTATTAATTTGTCATAAGTATAAAATAAATTCATTTTATATATATTTATTTTCTGTATTTATTTTACATTATTTTTATAAAAAAAATAAAATGAATGACTTACTTTTTTTTCTTCAATCTCTTACTGAAACTATTTTTGATACTACCTTATTTTCTGATGTTGATGATTTTGTCTATGCTTTTAATATCTTTTAATATTACTTCTATTCTTGATAAGCTTATTCCTCTTAAATCTTTTACTTATAGGCTCTATTCTCGTAAGACTCCTTGGTTTGATTATGCTTGTGTAGTAGCCAAGTAAAGTGTTAGAAGATTGGAGAAAGCCTATAGGTTAAATCCATCTAACTCTCTTTATTCTATCTATGAATCTGAATTGATTAATTATAAATATCTACTATTCTCTAAACACTCTACTTTTCTTAGAAATTCTATAAAATCTGCTTCAACATCTAAAAATAGGTGGTCTGTTCTATCTGAACTTCTACATAAAAAATCCTCTCACTCATCTTTTTCTGCTCAACAGTTTCATGACTTTTTTGTAAATAAAATTACTTCTTTAAGAACATCTAATTCTAATTTTTCTTCTCATAACTTTGCTAAACTTACTACTGAATCTTTTTCTGTATTTACTCCAATAAATCTTTTAGAACTAACTAAAATTATTAATTCTATGTCGTCTACAACCTGTTCTCTAGATCTACTTCCTTCTAATTTACTTAAAGAATTTTCTTCAATATTTTATCCAATCATTCTCAAATTAGTTAATTTATCTCTTTCAACCTCTAAATTTCCTACTTCTTATAAGAATTCTATTGTTATTCCTATTCTTAAAAACTCATCCTTAGATCCTACCTCTTTATCTAATTATAGACCTGTAACTAATATTACTTTCATCTCTAAAATAATAGAAAAAGTAGTTTTTAATCAACTGTCATCCTATTTAGACTTTAACTCCTTGCTACCTGTATCTCAATCTGGTTTCAGACCTGCTCACAGTACTGAAACTTCTTTACTTAAAATACACAATGATATCCTTCTCTCTAGTGACAATAGTAATCTTACTCTTCTTCTTGCTCTTGACTTTTCCTCAGCTTTTGATACCGTTGACTGCTGCATCTTTCTTGAGACTGCTGCATCTTTCTTTTAATATTACTGATTCTTGTCTATCTTGGTTTTCTTCTTATCTCTGTAATCGTTTTTCTTCTGTTGTTCTCAATAGCTCTACTTCTAACTCCTCTACTCTTACTTCCGGGGTACCTCAGGGTTCTATCCTTGGTTCTCTTCTATTTATACTCTATACTTCTGAACTACCTTGTATTATTAATAACTTTTCTTTCTCTAGTCAATTATATGCTGATGATTCTTACATTTATACTTCTTTTCCTCCATCTAATCTCAATAGTGTTCTTCATAATTTATCTCTATGTCTTTCTTCAATTATCGCTTGGTCTGACTCTATGTGTCTTAAACTTAATCCTTCTAAGTTTGAATTAATTTGTTTAATAAATCTAAACACTCAATTACTATTCCTCCTATTATCTTACCTGATTCTAAAACTCTTGATGTCTCTCATAAGTTTCGTAGTCTAGGTTTTATCTTTGATTCTACTATGTCTCTCTCTTCTCAGATTAATAGTGTTGCTAGAACCTCTTACTTTCATCTACGTAGAATTAAAAATCTTTTGCCTTTTCTTGATGATCCAACTCTTCTTCTTCTTGTTACTTCCTTAGTCTTATCTAGGATTGATTATTGTAACTCGCTCTACTATGGTCTTCCTGATTCTATACTCTATCCTTTAAGTAAAGCTCTTAACTCTGCTGCTCGTCTAGTTGCTCGTGCACCTTTCTTTTCTCATATATCTCTTGCACTGGCTACCTATAAAATATAGAATAATTTTTAAAATTTGCACGTTCATGTATAAGTTTCAATCTAAATTATTTCCTAAGTATTTATCAGATATATTAATTGAACCTAAACGCCCCGGTTTACGATCGTCTTCTCGCTTCTCGCTTTTTCTTAACTCGTGTTAAACACTCTTGCCAAATCTGCTTTTGCTTTTTCTGGTCCTTTTTTCTGGAACTCTCTACCTACTTCTCTGACTACTTCTCCATCACTTGCGAAGTTCAGAGCGGATCTCAAGACCCATCTGTTTTCAAAATTTATTGAGGAGCGCTGTTGAACATCGCGGAAATAGCGCTTTATAAGCTAATTGATTGATTGATTGATTGATTGATGGATTGATTGATTGATTACAATGACCTGCTTAAATAGAACGCCTTTTACCAAATACGATGCATCGTACTTTTTGGTTCTGCATCACGTGACGTTAATGGCGACTAATAGATTTTTCCAAATTGTCTGAAATTTCCACTTTGATGATTCGTAAAGATTAGAATTTTGAATTTTTATCTGTTTGAGTTAGTTTTTATTTTTTTGTTATAATTAATCTTTTTTCGGATTTAATATTTTTTTAAATTTTTTTAAAGGTTAGAGAAAAGTATCAAAATCCAACTGAGCTACAGTCATATATTTCTGTGATAATTTACGTGCAGTTTATGTTTATTTTGTCATATCAGTGTTCTATCCGCAGTGCCTTCTATCGAAAAATTTATCTTAATTTTTTAACATTACCATCAGCATCATCAAAAGCAACAATCAATCAACTCGTTCTACTACTCAATGAAACAAGCAAGTGATAACAGTTACCAAAGTATTCTCATGCCATTTAATAAATTAAGTAATGAAAACTCATGAGCTATTTTTCTAACATTCATTTTTTTGATTACTTATATGAAATTTCATGACTAAATTTAGAAAAAAAAGTTTTATTTTTAATTAAAAATGCAAATGAATGATTTTGCAAAACAAGCTGAGATAAACCAATTTCTCATGCTACATTCCATGAAAAGTTGTAATCAAGTTGCCAGCAACAAAGCAAGGGAAGATGATTCCGTTTTTGGAGGTGTCTGGGTGTCCCCAGAAGATGATGTAAAAAAGAACACTCTTTCTCTAACTGGGACTGAAATTTGGGGTCCCAGACCAAATCAAATCAACGAAAAGAGTATTAGCTCAGATAGTAGCTCTATAAAAAGTACCCCAGCTGATATTACACCAGAAGTAATTTCTGACAAAGAGAGATTTTTTTTCAAAAATAACAATGCAATTCCCTATTTTCAATTTCCCCATGGACTGAATCACAGTCAGAATGATCAACGCATGCAACAGTTGTTTGGTGATATCAGTCATAATTATAATCAAAGCAATAATGTGCCGCCATTACAACTTCATCAGCAGCAACAGTTTCGATCAGATATTCTCCCATCTGGTGAGGATAAATTCAGATCAATTTTAGATGGCAAATCAAGTGGAAGTTCCAGTGGTCGTGTGTCTGTTAGTGATCAGGATTCAGCTATCTGGGGGAACTATGCACAGACTTTGAATGATCTGAATAAAAAGTCAAACAAAAATTCTTCAAGTGATGCATCTCAAAAAGACTTTTCTTCTCCAATTAATTATCTTGTTGACTTTCCACCAACAGCCTCGATCATACAAAAGGACTTACTAGAGAAATCATTCTCATCCAACATGACTACACCATGGAGCACTGTTGTAAAGCAATCGATAGCCAATAACCAAGAAGATTGGCTTAATAAGATGAAGATTAATAGTAATAATAATTTTCCAGGATCAAATCCTGTTGCTAAAATGATGTCAAAAGATAATTTGGGACCATTCCATAATTCACCGTGGGATCAACCATCGAAACCTCATTTATCCCAGCAATCTACAAATGTATGGGGTCTGCCCCTTTCACAACCAACAACAATCAACAAGCATCCTGGGTCAAATCCAACGAACATATGGGGACATTCAATAACCAAAGACCTAAACATTGGGTCCCAGTGTCCTGTAAAATTTGACCCAAGTGTTCCACCACCACCATTTCCTCAGAAGACACTACCCCTAAATAAAAACATCCTCGATGGTAAAATGCCACAAATGAATAGCAACAACAACACTACTAATGTAAATCGAGACCAGTTGCTAAGCCTATTAGGTAGACCATTGTCATCAATGTCATCCAGTAGCATGAAGCAGGTTGGAGGCCTCAACAACAGCAGAGAACATCAGAACTCAATGCAAGCAACTTATCTACAACAACAACAACAGGCTAATAATATTTTTAAACACTTGAACCAGGTATTCATATGTAGGAATAATGTCTATGTTTGTTTTTAATTTTTTTTCTTAAATTCTTTGTAAATTAAACTTTCATAAAAATTGTAAATTTAAATTCAATTAACCACTTGATATGCAAGTATACAAATATATATATTAGATTAAGACTGTCAGAAATGCATTTATTGATGAAAATCACAGCATGTTACGCATTACTTAGCTTCCTATTTAATTTTTTGATTTTTCTAACTGTAGATCATAAATCATTGTCAAGTTACTTGAGTTCAAAACCAAAATTTTAATTTATTTGAAGCATGATAGAATATGCTCAAAAGCTTTTCAGTAATGTCAAATGACCCACCCACTAATGGGGGAGTCAGAGATCAATGCAGCGAAACGATTTGGATCAACACACGCCCATGAGTGCACAAGTCACCTGGCGGTTTTTGGTGGGTCAAATACCCATGGGAATGAAACTTTTATAAAACTATGATCAGAGTAGACCCCACTGGGATCAACTCAACGGTTTGATGGAGAAAAATTTGCAGAGGTGACAACCAATTTGAGTGTATCCCCAATCTATGCCAGGGCTGATTTATAACATTGCTCAAATGAAATGATTCAAAAATTTTGGATAAACTTGACGCAGAGGCATCATTAGCTTGCTCAACGTGAACACCTGTGCTAATGTTTTTTTTCTCCATTCATCGCATTGCTTTAATAGAAAGCTATGCAATGTACTGCAATAATCATTAGCACCTCTGATATCTTTTTAAAGAGCAATTACAAACACACCAATAATATATATATATATATATATATATATATATATATATATGTGTGTGTGTTGTGTGTGTGTATGCAAACAGACATGGTATCTTATTTAAACTAGCCTACTGCTATGCATATCTCTTCATATGTAGTGTATAAAATGATTGAAATGATGATAATAATACATTGCTGCATTCAGTATTCTTATAAAAATTGAGCTATTGTTCTCTTTGCTGACTGGTGTCTTTTTTGTGTTTTTTTTGTATCCATTATAGTTTGATTCTGCTTATTTATTATTCAAGGGCTCTTGAGTGAGTAATAATGTGAATAATAACAAATAATGTGCTTGTTATTCTTTGTTGCAGCTTGATTTTTTTTTAAATAATACATATTTTAGTGTTTTGGAATACTATCAAACATTCTTATTGACATTGACAATATGGTAAATATTAGCAGTCATTCAACATGGCCGCTACCCACCAAGTCACACCTATGCAACGACCAAGTGATTTACAATGGTCAGAGTTGTACAAGAAGGTATGTCTGTTTATGTGGATTCATGCTTGCATGGTTGTATGTGTTTCAATATGGTTGGCATGTTAGCTCAGATGATAGAAGTGTCTTGTCATGTGTCATTGTTGTTGAGCTTTTACAATGTGTGGGATGGGCATACAGTCCTTCCTTGTAGCACATCAGTTCAATTGCTACTAAAAAAACGTAATGAAACATATGTAAACAACTCTACATTAGTTAGAACTGTATTTTAATGAATAAATGCATTGTTAACCAATACAAATGACAATCAAACAGCTTGCTAGGTACATATGCTCATCAGCACAACTTCCTCAGACTAGAAGCAGGATGATTCAGTTTTTCACTGCGTTGGGATTCAAGGTGATGATAATGATGGTGGTTATGATAGTGAGGCTGATTATGACTGATGATGTAGTTAATGATATTGTGGAATATGCATGTGACAATGATGGTGTGGTTCTTGATGATGCTTGTGATTGTAAATGGAAAAAAAATACTTATATCATCATTATGATGAAGATGATAAATGTTTTGTGGTGTGGATAACATCAACATTATTACATGACTGATGTTAATGAAATGATGCTGGTGACAATTATAATTAAAATAGTAATTGTGGTATAAGTAATGTGCAAAGTTGAATACTTCATATATAAAAATTTATTAATAAATGCAAAGAATGTATTTAGTTAGTAATCACACTAGGGGAAATTTTAAAGGGACATAGATTTACGAATATGTAGATCATTGAAAGTGATGATGAAAACTGTGACAATGATGAAAATTGTGCTGATGGTTTTTGACGTTAATTAAAATTATTAACTTTCCAGAAGGAAACAGCAGGAAAGCTTCTGATAGACAATGGCCTGGATTTTGAATTGACATTGGGTAATTTGCCTGTGATGGTTGTATTAATATATGTGTGATGTCTATTTGATGATAGTACTAGTTCAACTAATGCTGATGGGTATACTATGAATTGGCACTTATATAAGCTCTGTCAAAGTGTGCCACACTTATAAACTGAATGTTTTGCCATTATATACCACAGGTGAATTGATTTTTAAGTCGGCAGTTTCTAGAGGTCTGATTGATACGTCCCTACTATCTCCTGGCCGCAGTCCTCTAGATCCATCTAAGCCAATAAATTCTAACAAGCATGGTGGAATATTGCAGAATTATCTCATTTCACTGCACGGCATCATACAACAGATGTCGTTTACTCAGAACTGCCATGACGTATCAGCATCTGCTCAGGTATTAGCTTATATTTTCTCATTTTGTATTTGTTAAATGCATTAATGTCATTACTATATATTGGTATTGATTGTATTATTTATTTTCAGCCTCCTATCGACTACACCATACAAGCCCTGATAAACAGTCAGGAGAGATTCACCTCTCCGACTCTCTACATGCCTAACTTCAGTTTCACAAGCAACAACTACAACAACGACCAACTTGTTTGTGGCAGTGCTGGTGGTAGCAGTAGCCTAAGTAGTGGTGTCATTAATAACTTAAAGAACCTTATCTCTAGTAACAACAGTGCCAGTTCTAGTATCACCGGCATAAGCAATGACAGCAGCAATGTTCGTTCTATATTACTTAGCAGTAGCAACAATGTTAAAGGTAATAGTGACCTGAATTTGGGTCTTGGATCTAACAACAACAACAGGGGTATGCCTCCGTCATTCTTCACTACTCCACCTCATCTTGGCTTGTCATCTCCCTTGCCCATCTTTGATGTTAACTGCAACAATGAACAGCAGCAGCAACAACAACAGCTATTGCCACTGCTGCATCAGCAGCAGTCAAAATCATCAAGCATGTTGAATCCTAGGAGCCCAGAATGGGTTCCTAATTCAAATTCAATGTTGGATTCGGTTGGTCTTGTTAGTGGTTTTGGTGGTAATGCTAACAGCAGTATAATATTATCAACATCCTCTGCCACATTTGTTTCTTCAGTTGTTAATACCACTGGTATCACACCATTCCACAAACAAAGTAACATTGTTCATAACAACAACAACAATATCCAAAACGAAAGGATGAGTAACACTAACTTGATGGCTATGCTGAAGAATTTAAAGTTGAACAATGACAACCAATTGGCTACTTCCAACTGCTCAGCTACATTTTCACTAGCAAATAGCAATACTTCCTTTTCTATAGCACTAATGACATCAACAGCTGCTTCATCTAGCACATCTGTCACTCTTTCAGGTCTGGCAATTAATGAATTTATCCCAGGAATTCCATGGAAGAAAGATGTAAATAATCATAACCACCAATCAGTGAGAGGTATCAAGAAGGGTATTGATGATACTACCAATGCTAATATGGCTACTACAAATACTCCTCTGGGTGATGATGATGTTTTCAAGACTCGACAGCAATCAAATTTTAGTGGTGCTATCGATAATAATTATGTCAAAACATCTTATGTTAATAGCTTGAATACTGTTTATACTGTTACTACCACTACTACCATTCTTACAGCTGCAACTGCCACTGATATTCCTACTAGCAGCAGATATCAGTTTTCTATCAATGACACTCAAATTTCTTCCACCACTACTACCACCAGTGGTGCCATTGATAAAGTTTATCATCATAATCCTCTGTGGATTCCACCTGTTGTAGCTATGGCAACAAGCAGTCATGTGATTTGTCAAAAAAAGAATCTTTTGAACTCCAGACTCGAATCTAATTGGACGAACCAAGCAAATGATGGTTGTAATAAAATTGATGCCAAACAATCGATGCTGACATATTTTGATGCTGGTTATGGAAGCAGTGCAAACGGAGAGGATGGTGGAAAAGATAGTGATTGTCTTGTGGTGGAGGGAGATGCAGTGCCATATGATGGATTGAATGATGTTCATCAGTTGATAAATATTATCTCTGATGAGGATGCTGATGGTGGTGGTGTCGTTGATGATATTATTGATAATTCTACAGGTTTGATTTTTTGCAGTCATTTACTCTAATTATTATTTATATGTTGTTGAAATTTTATTTTAATGTATCTTTTTATTTCCTGATTGAGTAGTAAGTTTATGAAGCTGATACTGTTGTTAATTATTAATTTGACAATTATTTCAATTAAACAATCTTTTAGAAGTTGTAAGATCTGATCCTATTCAATCAAACTGGATTGTCATTAAGAATATCTCTGACAATGTTTGTATTGACTGAATTGTTGATTGATTGTTTAGTTGTTTTTGATTGATTGAGGGCTTGATTGTTTGATTACTTGGTTCTTTGATAATTTCATTCATTTTATATTCTCTATTGATCATCAAATTAATTGAATTAATTTTTTTTTAATTTATGTAGTACTTGATGTCAAAATGTTCTAGAACAATAAATAAAGTGCTTAGGACAATTCAATTTATTAGATCATTTAGTTAACTTATTATGAAACAATTTTTCAAACAATCAACCGACAAATGAATGAAGTTAAAGGAAGAAAGCTTGACTGCCATGTTACTGAGTTATGGTTCGTTGAAAAGTGTTACATTCATCAAGGAAACAAACAGCGTACTCGTCTGCTACATGGACAAACAACAAGCTGTCTTGGCCAAACAAGGTCTGTGGGTCTTTAAATGTTTGTATATATATATATATATATATATATATATATATATATATATATATATATATATATATATGGGATTGTGTTTGCATATTTTTTCAGAAATTTAATCTGTAAAGTTTTGTATCTGCTATTGTGCTATTTGCATACTACTTGCTTTTTTGTGTTTCATTATATGCTCATGGCTTATGCCATATCAGGGATCCATTTATTTGTTTGCCTACTTTTCCATCCTTTGTTCATAAATTCGTTCATAACATTCGATTTCTAAAAATAGGTTTTGACGAGTTTGGCCGTAGTCAAGATGCTGAAAGTTATTCCTCTGAAAACAGTGTGAACAACAACATGAACAACAACAATAACATCATGTCTGCTGAATTTGTTCCTGATTGGACGACGACCTTATCCAATCACCATCAAATCAACAATATCTTAGATGAGGCCACCGATTATGGAGCCAGTGAAAGAAAGAAAACAGACAGCCTTCTATCTCAAACATATACATCGATCGATACGCAGGGCATCGGCTGCACGACGCCAAGTGGATTGTGGATACCTTCAAAGATACTAGAAAATTTGGATTTTTACTCTGGCTCTATTGATAATGATGGTGATTGTGAGAATGATGTTGAGCATGTTGTTGGCGATGCAGATGAGATGCTGGATGTTGCTAGGGCTGACAATAAAGATAGTAGTCAGAGTGTTTTGAGTGGTGACGAGTTGTTGCTTGGTAACCAAGTAGCAGGATGGATGGATGGCGATGCTGGCAATGGTGATGGTGGCGATGTCGAGGATAATGTAGGAAAGAAGTTTTAAGGAAGGATTGTATTTTTTCTATCATTTGTTCACTCACTCATTTTATTCTTTCATTTCATTTGTCTATTCATTCATCCATCCAATTGTTCGTTCATTCATTCACCACTTACAACATTCACGACACATTAGGCATAATCTATAGATATATATTTATCTATATTACTATCATCATCTCCAATCTATGAACTATTTTGTATGGTGTGACCTTGTTCATTTATTTATTTACTAAATTAAGTTTTTATTTATTTTTCTACTAATTGATTTATTCATGTAAAAACTAATATCAATATTTGTTTTATTTATTTTATCGATTTACTCACTCACTCACTCATTCATTCATTCTTTTCTTTGTTCATTTGTTTTAAGTTTTTCCATCCATCCATTCATTCTTATAAAATAGCTTGAACAAAATACATAATGCTAGTCGAAATGTGTTACTTCAAATTTATGCATTTAATGTTATGCATATATATATATATATATATATATATATATATATATATATATATATATATAATAGCTAGATCTGTATCAATCTTCGTTTAGTGTCCGGAGACCCAGTTCCCCCGAGGTAGGACGTTGTTTTCTTTGCCATCAATTTTTTGTACAAGGTTTGTTATAAATTTTTGTATAATTAATCAAATAGGTTTATTATACTTTGGATGGTTATTTTCATTTATTTGCACTGTTTTTTTTTATTTCATTTTGTGAAAGAAATTATTCAATACATTTAAAAGATTTTCTAAAAGCGTTATTCATCCAGTGACTTACTTACATTTTTCTCTTTAAGTTTAAAATGAAATCAGACATCAGAGCTCTTAGATTTTGGCTCCATCGTCGTCGTCATCGTCACCATCACATTCCCTTCGGTTATATTCACCATCACCATTCATTTGTTGTAATTTTTTTTTCATTATTTCTTTTTATTATTGTTATTGTCTCTTGTTATATTTATTTTTATAAATATTATAGACTGGTGGGGTATATTGTATGGGATTTTTTGATAGTACTTAGCTAAAGAGTTGATGATGCAGATGATGACGAGATGGATCTGAGGATGTTGCTGGTGCTGGCTGTGTTGTTGATAAAGACTACAATGTTGATTGATTTTTAAGTTATTACACATTTTATTCTTCTCTAGTGCTGAGTTGATCTAATGAGCTAGCTTTCGATCTATCTGTTTGTTTATTTATTGGTCTATCTGTATATAAGCCTTTTGTACTAAATATGTTACGTATGGTTTGGTGGTGTTGATGCTTTTGAAGATGAAAATTATGTAAATGATTTGTTGATGACGACGACGATGAGGACGTGATGATGTTTGTTTGGTTCGGCTCTCTCATTTCAACGTCAGCAGCACTTTAAAATTATTAGTTATTAGCCGTACAACTGTAATTAGTGTTGATTGGTTAGTTATTTTAAAATTATTTTAAATTAAAATCGATTTACTCAATTAATCATAGTATTTCTGATTTTTTTTCATATTGTTCATTAAAGAACGCCTGATCTCATATAAATTGACATTAAATTAATTAAGCTAAATGGTCGTCGCCCATGCATACAGCAACTAAGCCACACCACCACTCACACACGTTTGTACTCGCATTGATGCATATTCGTATGACACGGCGTGCACATTTTTTTCATTTTTACCATTCACTACTCATTTAAAGACATTTTGGGTTTTTTTCCATCTGATGATGTTAATAGAATTAGCGATAATTATTTATATGCAAGGGTTCTCTGTATAAGCTCGTCTTTTTTGCCTGCGAATCTGTGTGTGTGTGTTTTTATACCTATGTGAAAAAATTTGAAAGCCACTCAAAAAGAATAATTTTCAATGATATTTTTCTTTCTCTCTCTCTCACTCTCTCTCTTTATTTCTATTTGAGCTTATGTTTTGTTATAGTATAAATTGCAGTTAACAATATCTTCGTGATTTGCGTTTGTGATGATGATGATAGCGATGGGGATGGTGATTATTTTTTCCATGTTAATTTTTTCCAATACTTGAACACCAATCAGATTGTTCGGTCACTTACTGATAACCCTTCACCTCCATGCGCAATAATAATAATAATAATTGCTGTTTAAAAACAACTTTGCAGTTTATATTTGGTTTCGTTTATTGGTTTCGTTTATAATTTGTTGGATGGATGGATGGATGGATGGATGGATGGATAAATGGATGGATAAATGGATGGATGGATGGATAAATTGTTGGATGGATGGATAAATTGGTGGGTTCAACGAATTTTTCACACCTTATAAATTGCAGATTTGGTTTTTGTTTTTATAGCAGGCAAGAGATAATTCAATATCACTTTATAATGATGATATAATAACACTGGCAATTTATTAATGATAATGTTGATGATTATCATAGGAGTGATTGTACTGACGATGTTGATTGTTTTCACATTCGATGATTCCTCTCCCTAGCATATACATGTGATTTACATTATCCGCTCCCGTCTGCTTTTTTTTATGTGTGATTCTGTTCGTCTGTGTCTGTCTGCGTGTTTGTGCGTGTGTGTCTGTCTGTAGGTGTGCT